CCTCACAAGCTTTTCTTCAGACATCTTTTCTCCCAAGGCTCCTGAGGTGTTAGCTATCTCAAGAATATTCATGTAGAATTCATGAATAGTCTCATCCTCCTTCATCCTTAGACTTTCAAATTTGGTTGTCAATATTTGTAATCTTGACATCTTGACTTTAGAGGTTCCTTCATGAGTTGTTTTGAGAGTATCCCAGACCTCTTTAGCCAGCTTACAATGATGCACCAGTCTGAATATGTTCTTGTCTATACCATTGAATAATGCATTCAAGGCTTTAGAATTCCCAAGAGCCGAGGCTTCTTGCTCTTTGGTCCATTCTTCTTCAGGTATAAGCATAGAAAATCCATCTTTATCAGTCTTTACTAGATGCTCCCATCCTGAGTTTGCAGGTCTCCATGCCTTGCTGTCTAAAGACTTTAAGAAGGCTATCATCCTAGGTTTACAGTAGTCATAATTAGAGCCATCCAGAATTGGTGGTCTATTTGTGAATCCTATATCTTTATCCATAGTACTAGAATTTATCTTCCCTAGATCTCACCCAGAAAATAACAGGCATGATGCCTGCTCTGATGCCAATTGAAATTCTGGCAATCACACAGTGGATGTTATCACAGATGTTATGACATCCACTGTAACACAGACTACTAGACTTACTAATAAGTTGTAAATGGAAAGCAGTAAATAACACAAGTAATTGTTCACCCAGTTTAGTGTCAACCACACCTACATCTGGGGGCTACCAAGCCAGGGAGGAAATTCACTATTAGTAGAATTAATTCAGAGTCAAACAACTCGTTTGCACTCTTCACTTAAGACCTACCCAATGACACTTCAGCCTAGAAACCACTAGACCAGAGTTTCCCACTCACTCCCCCTCAATCACCGCAGTGATAAACAAATACACAATTACAATGGAGATAATGAAGACACACTTCAAACACACCTTGATCTTGCTTCACAGCTTTGATCAAGAGACACACACTCTTGCTTAACAGCTTTGAGTGACACAATGAACACACTAGTTCCTACACAATAACCAAAGCAATTATACAACATACAACTGCTTGACACACAAGGAATCATATTCCTAAACACACGTGAAGAGAAAACCTCTTCACTCACAAGTCACACTCTCCAATCTCTCTCCAGAAGCTCTTCCTTTAAGCTCTATGCTATTTGGAATGATCCTTCTGCTATTTATAGCAGCAGACTTGCTTTAGGCCTTGATGGAGAAACTAGGTTTACCCAAGATAAACCTCTCTTCATGAAGTTGCGCCCTTATCATCAGGTCAGGAGTCTTCTATGTTATCCTCAACAATGCCTGTTATGTCGCCTAAGATAACTAGGCTTCCTGAATTGTTTCCTGAAGTATAGCCTGAGCTAATAACAGAAAAAATAACCCTACGCGCCCTGATGTCATACGCTTGAAGTTATAACATCCAGTCATGACATTCAGCTTCACTTACTCTTAGCTCTCCCTGCAGAACACTCTTCATGTATGTCATAACATCAGTTATGACATTCATACATACATTAGTGTTTTGCCATAAAATGCAGCCAATCAAAATGCATCTACAACTATATAACTTTCTATTACTTCGACCACTGAGTGGTCAACAATGAAATCTACGACAATCTAGCCTTTTATTTCTTTCAAAGGACAATAGGTCAGTGAATATTCAGTGAGTGCTAAAGCTCACTTTCCTATTTGACTATGGAGTATAGGTTTCGACAACATATGTTTGATAACATCAAAATGAGAGTAGACATAAACATCAACAAGTTTTATATAATGCTTAAGTTTTGTACATGAAAATTATATGCACAAACATAACTTTTTGATTGCATTATACCTATTTTCTGCATCAATCAGGATTCGACTGAGGTAATAAATATCTTTTTCGACGCCATTTTCATCCTTTTGAGCTGACATATTTCCTATGGTCGAATCTGATGCAGCTATATAAAACTTCATATTCTTATTTCTACTTAGAGGTAACAATATAGGAGGCTTCGTCATATAATTTTGAATGTTTTCTAAAGCCTCTTGCTGCACACTCCCCTATATGAAGTCACTTTCTTTCTTGAGTCGAAGTAATGGCGAGAAAGCCTGGGTCTTGCCACTTAAATTGGAGATGAATCTTCTCAGGAAATTTATTTTCCTCAAAAAATATTAGAGTTGTTTCTTTGTCGAAGGAGGCTTGAGATCCAATACCGCCTTGGTTTTAATTTGATTGATTTCAATGCCTTTTTTGTGCACCACGAGTCCCAATAAATCTCCTGCATGAACACAGAAAGCACACTTTAATGGATTCATTTTTAATCCATATTTTCTCATCCTCTCAATGGATTGTCGAAGATGGCCTAAGTGACCATTTTTTAATGAGAACTATATGACTATACCATCTATGTAGACTTGCATGAAATTTTCGATGAAGTCATGGAACATCGAATTCATAGCCCTCTGATAGGTTCCCTAAGGCACCTAGGAGTCGAAATACTGTTTTAGGTACGTCTTCTTCAGCAATAAATATCTGGTTATACCCAAAATACCCATCTAACATAATTAAATATTCAAAATCCGTGGCTGAATCTACTAGCATTTCTGCCTCAGGAATTAGGTACTCATCTTTAGGCGTAACATTGTTTAAATTTGTGAAATCTATACATACTCTAAAAGTTCCATTTTTCTTTATAACAAACACACTATTTTCTAACCATTCAACATACCTGGCTGTTCTAATGAACTTACTCCTGAGCAGCCTTTCGACATCGTCTTTGATCTTCGACATGAATTATGGTGCAAACCTTCTTGGTAGTGTTTCACCGGCTTCTTACCAGGTCGAATTGGTAGCTTTAACTCCACCTTGCTTTGAGTCAACCCTGGAAAAATAATCTTCGAATTGGGTGATATGGTGTGCTACTTGTGCTACTTCATGAATATCACACCTTGTAGTTATTTTAGCCAAAAAATTTCAAAGGGGAAGAATGTAGTTCTTTTTGGTTGGCTACATTAGGTAAAACAACATATGTATAAGATGTACTTTAGGCAACATGTAGAACAAGATATTCCAGCATGTGTTCCAACATTTGAGATTGTTGCTAGGAAGGGTTGTTCAACTAAAGTGCTTGACATAATCAGCTAAGCAAGATATATTTTGCTAAAGTGCTTGACAAAACTAGTTAAGCAAGATGTTCCAATATGTATCTAAAGTGCTTGAAAAAACTAGTTAAGCAAAAGGTTTAACATGTGAGTATGTATCATCTTACCATAAAGTTTGGGTTCTGACTATCTCCAAATGTCCTTCAGATGAATTATGGTGTTAAATTCTTCAGAAGAATCGGATGTTTGCTTTTGGAAAGAAGTTTATGTTGTTAATCCAAAATCTTTTTGAAAAGACTTTGGATCTGTCTCAATCACAAAAGATTTGATTTGATGTTACCTTTAAGGAAAATTTGATCCAAGATTTACTCTATAAAGAGGACTTATATGAAAAGATTTATTTTGAATGTTCTGGTATAACATGTGGAACACGATGTTCCAACATGTGTGCTGTAACATCTGGTCTCTATCAACAGATAAATATTATTGCAGTTGTGGTGAAGAAGGTGTGCTGCAACATCTGGTTTGTGTCAATAGACAAATGTTATTGTCGTTATGGTGAAGAAGAGACACATGTGGAATACGATGTTCTAACACTGCGCGCAACATCTGGCCCTGGTTCAGCAAGATTTTTTAACAAAAATCTGGTTGAGATTCAATCAATTTTTTTGCTATTTATAAAATGTGTTTGTGTAATATGTTTGATAACTGTTGAAGATCAAATCAATTTAAATAAAAATTTAAATTTGAATTTGAATTAAGAAAGTCATATCTTTTGTTTAAGATTTTTATGGAACAAATCATATTCAATTTATTTTAGACGAAATCAAATCAAATACTCATTGAGAAAAGCTCAGAAGAAACATTGCTATTTAAGGAGACTAAACTTAAACTTAGAATTTGAGATGTGCACTTTTTAAAGACTCTTAGTATTAGAGTTTCTATTTTTGAATTTTTGTTTTAGTCATTGTTCCAATATATTAATTCTATAAGTATGAAAACAAAGTGTTTTTGTTTCTTATATTCTATGCTAATTCGAAGTTGTGACTTTTATTTCTTGAGTAAAATGCCCCCACTAAGTGTGGTTCCACCTAATTGGATTATCAAAACTCTTCCTTTATTATTTTTAAGTTAAATTGTTTTCTCTTGTATTTTAAAGAGATTTTTATTTTAGCATACAATATTTTAAACATCTAGTCATTTTGCACCACCAGTAAAAATCCCCAATGCATCGATTGGTTGGTACAAATTTTATTCATAAAAGTGATTAGTTAATACTCATATTATACTTGAGTAGTGATAAATACAATCTAATAGTAAAATATTGTGAGGTAGAATTGTGAAGATAGAGAAACAGAGAGAATATTTGTTTCGACTTAAATGTCTCACTTCAAAACACATAGGTGACTAAACCAAACAAAAAGAATGTATGGTTGTGACTTATATGCTCTTTTTGACTGGCATTTATATACGCATGTGTGAAAATTTTGAACACTATTGGACAAAACTTAAATTAATTGAATTCTAGTTTAAAGACAAATCTCAAGTGTTTTGAGCTCAAAATAGACTTATAATATCCTAATTTATTGAAAACTTACTAAAATCGTAGTATGTTTGATTATTGTTCATTCAAAAATATTGAATTGTAAGAGATTATGAAACTTAACAAGTCTATTAATAAAATTTGAAAACAATTTTACAAAATGAAAAACATTAATTTCAAGAAACATTTATTTATAATAACTCAAAACATTAATTTACAGAAACTGAATGTCTTAAAACATTCTTTTAAGAACATAAACACACATTACAAACATACCCTCCCCAAAATGTTCACCATGTTCCTTTCATTTTATTATTAATATTATCTGCTGATTTAACCCTTTTATTTCCAATATCACTTAGTTTCAGTGACAGCTATTGTTATATTCTCATCACTTCCTTCTTCATTCTTCTTCTCTCTTTTCTCACTTCCTTTTCCTTGTTCTTTCTCAAGGATATTTTCCACAGTTTCAGTTTCACCAGTAGTTGGTATCACATTGCTTCCTATACCCTTCTCTTGAAGATTAGTTCCTTCTGCTTGAATTCTTTCTTCACTTGGTATCACTTTTTGTGTAACCAAGTTCTCTCTATAGTTGCTCACATTTTCGCCTTCTGATGATGGCGAGATTTCTTCACCTTCCTAAAATCAAAACTTAATTTTCAGTTTTTATAGACTTATATATAATCAAATGAGAAAGAGTGTAGTAAAAGTAATGAATATAGAGAAGCAAACCTTAGGTTGAGAAGCCTTTTGAGCCTCATATTCACGCCATGATTCATCTTTCTTTCTAGCAGTAAACTCCTTGGCAGTCTCACCAGCAGAAGCAGCCAAGCCTTTAACAGTTTCCACGGACTTCGCCGCAAGCTCAGAAGCCTTTGGTGCAACATATCCAACCGCTCCTTCAACAACATTAGCAGCAGCCTTAGTTCCATCCACCGTCAACTGTGTGGCATAATGTGTTGCTGTCCACCCCGCAGCAGACACCACTTTCCCTGCGATTTCCGCGGCAGTCTTCCCTTTCTCTACGGTAACATCCTTTGCCTGAACAGCCGCGCACTTGGCTTTCTCCGCAGCCGTCTTGGTTTTCTCCGCAACAGGAGTAGCATAATCTGCTGCAGTTTTTGCAGCATTTGAAACTGTGTCTTTTGTTGCCTCATAACCTTGTTGTGTCTTCTCGAGAGTTAAGTTTTTAGCCTGTGCTGCTTTCTCCGCAGCGGTTTTTGCGGCATTTGAAACCGTGCCTTTGGTTGCTTCGTAACCTTGTTGGCCTTTCTCAGCCGCAACATCTTTGGCCTGTGCTGCTTTCTCCGCAGCAGTATCTTTGGCCTGTGCTGCTTTCTCCGCAGCAATTTTTGCTGCATTCGAAACTGTGTCTTTGGTTGCTTCATAACCTTGTTGGCCTTTCTCAGCCGCAACATCTTTGGCCTGTGCCGCTTTCTCAGCCGCAACTTCTTTGGCCTGTGCCGCTTTCTCAGCCGCAACTTCTTTGGCCTGTGCCGCTTTCTCAGCCGCAACTTCTTTGGCCTGTGCCGCTTTCTCAGCGGCTTGAGCTCCCTTCTCTTGTGCTGCTCGTGCTGTGTTATTCAGTGTTTCTTTTGTTGCTTCTTTCGCTCTTTCTCTTGCTCTCTCTTTTTCCTCAGCAACATTTTTTTCCAATATGGCATCTTTCGCTCTTTCTCTTGCTCTCTCTTTTTCCTCAGCAACATTTTTTTCCAATATGGCATCTTTTGCTCTTTCTCTTGCTCTCTCTTTTTCCTCAGAAACACTTTTTTCCAATATGGCATCTTGATTTTCAGCACCATGTACCCTTCCTCTCTCTGCCACAACTTGCTCCTTTCCCAATGCTCTGTTTTGTTCCTTAATGTGTGGTGTTCCACTAACCACTCTGGTACGATTATCGAGTTTTTCTCTTGGAGCATTTTCTCCTACTCTGTTTTCTGCTACATTCGCACTCACAGGAACACCTGCACGATCAAGGTAATTTGGATTCTCGTTGCGATCAGGGAGAGACTGAACGTTAGGTCCGAGTTCATGGCTTTGTCTTGCTTTTCCTCTTCCAGCAATATCTCCAATTGCTTTCCCTGAACGATCTTTGTTGATTTCACCACCTGGTAATGGTTCTACACCCCCCTGTGGCAGTTCTTTCTCGATGCGGGTTGTCGTCTTCTGGACATTGTCTTTCTCGCCGGGAATCTTTCTCTCGGTTGTAATGTTTTCTCTGCGAGATACTTGTTCAGACGCCATTGTTGATGATGAATTCTGGTCTTGAAAATAAAAAGAACAGAACAAAATACTATGTACGGTTTTTGTGTAGTAGTTTTTGTTTTGGATGTTGATTTGATGGTTATGAGAATGAGAATGTGTGTGATTTAAAAGGGAAATGGGAATGGCGGTTTAAAGAGGTTGGTAATGAAGGTTTTTGCATGGGAGAGGACATGTGTGTTTATTACTCACACGTGTGATGGTTCTGAAACTAGTTTTGTGTGACTCAGCCTAAGATGAAGATGAAAATGAAAATTTTAGATTTGAATGATTGGAGTGTGGATTTTCATGTATAAGGACAAGTGGGAAGTTGAATGAGTGCCACGTAGGAGTTTGTGCTTGCTAATTGTCAGAAAACACACATGGCTGGCTTCAACTATCGTTATTTGATGACGGTGATACTTCATTTTGAAATATACTATTTATAAAAAGAAAGACATTCTTAATTAATATAGTTTTATACAACTAACCAATGATTATTGTATATTTTATTAATATTTTTTTTATGTTTGTAGTATGATATAGTTAGAATAATGAATTTCTATTATTTTACATTGTTGAGATACTATTTTTAATCTCTACATTTTTTTGAGTTATTTAAATTCTTATTTACTCATTGATATAATTTTTTGATCAAATGTATAATATTTAATGCTTTGTTATGGGATATAAAGTTTGTAAAGAAGTGTTTGTTTTAAGTTTAAAATTATATTTGTTGTGAAATAAATAATAGAAAATGAGTTTATTATGTTTACTTAATAATGTTTATTACTTATTCCCAAGTTAACGATGGGAAAGTGAATTCCAATGAAATTAAATGTAATTTTTTTATTGGAATTAGAATCGTGATGGACTCTTGTTATATTTGTGTAGACTTTTGATGCGGCAGTGTAGAGAAGGATCTTCAAAATTAACACTCTAACGTTTAAGTCAATTACATGATTAAAGTCTAAGTTTAGAATGAGAGAATGTATCTTGCGCCTTACGCATGCTATTTATATGTAAAATTTGGGTATATAAATCACAGATGTCCCAAAAGATGTCAAGACATTAATCTCTGCATAACTTAAACAAAGACAAAACATAACATATCAGAACAACCTGGTATCTCAAAGTCATAACAATGTAATGATAAATGTTTTAACATCAGTCAAGACATATACTTCAGAGCAAAAGAGTAGACTGAATAGAACACAACAGAATGAAAAATAACACAAGGTATGATGACTCAGTTCAGTGCAACTCACCTACATCTGGAGGATACCAAGCCAGAAATGAATCAACTATCAGTAGTATTAATTTAGAGTTGAACTCCCCCGTTTACAACTCCTCGCTTAATCCCTACTCAACACAATTTTATCTCAAAATCACCATTTAGATAAGAGAAACTCATCTCAATTCCTAAATCACCCCAGTGATATCTAACAGTCACAACCTCCGGTGATTGTGTCAAACTGTTCAATTGAAAGACACCCCTTCCAATAATATTCAGTTAAAACTCTTGACTAACAATAAAACTTGAATTTTCTTAAAAGCTTCATCCAAGAACAATATACAATTCATTACCTACAGGTTTCTGAATATGTAAAACTATGTCTACCACAATGTATCAACTGATACAAATGGTGACTTACAACACAAGAAAGTACATGACTCTCAAAATCATAAACTCTTATAATTACTTTACAAGAATTCGTTACAAGGTCTACTCTCTTACTATTCCCTAGGTCGTGGTCTTCCTTTTATAGCCTTTAGCAATCCATGGGCTTCGAAGTCTCTGTCCAATCTTTCCTTGATCCACGTTCTGATTGCACCTTAAATCTTGGAACAAATCTGCAACAAACTTGTTGCATCATACCAAGATGTCGAGTCCTAGGACATCTTGTCTGACATGTTGTTCATTATCAGATTTTTTCATGTTAGGACATCTTGTGAAACATCGTGTTTTACCAAAATTTGCTCAAATCTTAGAGTCTTCAATCTCCCTTTTTTGAAATGTTTTGGCTAAAACTCCTTTTGCACAATAAACCTAGGAAGTAAGGAGAAGAAGAGTAGAAAATCCTAAAGTCATTTCAGTCATCCTGTGACGAGTCTAGCAGAAAATAATGAGCCTCTTGAAAGCTTTCATTCTTCCTCTACAACATGCACCACCTGTTGTACGATGAGTATCCTGAATCCTGGTGTACATGAGAAAGAGGATGTACACCACTCCCCCTCAAAAGCAGCCCCAATTTACCACCCTCCATTATCCAAATCAGGGCTTAGAGGATCAGACTCCAGTTCCGAATAACTCAGAACACAAGACACAATTGTGTTTATAATTCAGATCACAAGTCACAAAAGAAACTGAGACACAGACAGGATATCATAACATCCCATCCAAAATTCTTGCAAAACATCCCATCCAACATCCTTGCAAAACAACTGCGAGGACAGACTCAGACCCAAACAAGAGATCAATTATGTGTTGTAGGGAGTAACACACAATTGGGATAGACACACAACCTATCTCCCCCTTTTTAGCCAAAAATTGGCAAGGATACCCAACACATGCCCATACCCAAATGGTACTTATCAAAACCCGGGCAAATGCCATGCAGACTCGACACTTCAAAAGAACCACAACCTAAGACTAATGAAGCATATATCCCTTTTAAACACCCGAGCAGTTTCCTTAGGAATTAACATTCCATTGATATAACCGAAGGACAATTCAATGAAAGAGTAAATTGAGAAAGAAAACCTCAGCATAATTGAATGTGCACCGGCCAACTCAGATTTGACTGCTTCTTCTTTAATGAGAACCGTCTAAAGACTATGCATGTACCAATGAAGTATGTTTTTCACACCTTCTTTAAGGCACGCTTTCCACTGTTCAAGGAACACCGTCCAAATAAAGCTACATGGAAACAACCACAAGTCATAAACAATGTCCTGACATCCAGCCAGTCCTTATTTACTCTCACCTGAAACTTTTAAGGCATAGTCACAATGCCTTCCAATGAACTCCACGCATACTTCATTCATTCAGAATTAGAAAATCTTAATCATAATGTCAAGACAGTATGCGTGATGTAACACCCCCTTTCCATACCCCCAAATAAACAATTAAATCATTTATGCACTTAATGAAAAAAAATTCTATCTGAGTATAATTATAACATGGTATAAAAGAGGCGCGTCACATTATCAGCAAAACGAAACATAAATAATACCAGCTCACGAAGATATGTAACAAAAGGGGTAAATCTCAACTAAAAATAAGCATAACGCTTAAAACCCACACATAAACATTTAGAATAAAGCGGAAACATCTAAACATTGAGATCACTTCATTAATATAAGCATCATACACACCGTTCAGATTAATTCAATTCATCAGTTGAGTTTACAAAATGTTCATCAGCAGATACATACACAGATGTATCACAAAAGAATCAAAATAATTCCTAACTACCCAGTGTTACATATCAGAGCCATCTGACCAAAAGAAATGAAGACTCGCTTCACAAAGACTCCAGCAATCTAATCTGCAATGCCTCATAGAGCATTATAAAACAGCAAAGGGTGAGAAACAATATCATAATACATAATGCACATAAACATATATATATATATATATATATATATATATATATATATATATATATATATATATATATATATATATATATATATATATATATATATATATATATATATATATATATATATATATATATATATATATATATATATATATATATATATATATATATATATATATATATATATATATATATATATATATATATATATATATATATATATATATATATATATATATATATATATATATATATATATATACACATGACGTCCAAAAACGTCTTCCGCATTCTCACCGCAACTCATCTCACTACACCGTACATCACAATGTATTCACAATTAACTATTTACAAATAGAGCACCAAGCATATACAATGTGCATCAACAATGTTTATATCAATTCATAAACATGCATACATATACACATATATTCACACATACATGTATATTCAAGCCTTCCATTCATGCCAATTATCAACAATCTATATAAACATCTACATTCATGTTTATTCACCATACATCATGCACAGATGTCTACATGCAACTCACAGAGACCGACATACGACTCTATGCAGATGCAAATGCGATACCGACTCATTTCAGCAGGTTCAATTGAAGAACCAAAATAATCATCGCTCACACCCCACATGGACACATGAGGTTCTGCAGATTCACCGAGGAATCAATAAATAACCATCGCAACATACGAGGTTCTGCAGATTCACCGAGGAATCAATAAATAACCATCGCTCACACCCCACAAGGGCACACGAGGTTCTGCAAATCCACCGAGGGATCAATAAATAACCATCGCTCACACCCCACAAGGGCACACGAGGTTCTGCAAATCCACCGAGGGATCAATCGACACAAGAATGCATACCATGATGCTTCACATGCAACATGACTCATGACACTCTTGAAATGCATACATGTTTACCAACATACTCATGCAATCATCACATTCGTCGCATATATTCATTATGCATTCAAATATATGTATCACAAAGCATATATATATTCATCATCCATTCACACCAATTTTCATACATGGTTCACATTCACAATCAATCTCGCCATGCATCTCTATTTAACTCAAATAAATGCACAAAATTGCCAAACGGCCACATTTCACACTTCACAATTCACAAACTAGGATTCACACCATACGACTACCCACAACACATATAATTAGTCATCTCAGACAAGGAATGGTCGCAACCAAACCACACAACCGATCCACGAATGGAAAACACAAGGAAAGAAAATATGCTGCTGTGTACGCTAACCTTCGCCTGGCGAACCTTCGCTACTCTGTTCGCTTGGCGAACTTGCCAGCGAAGACCACTAGGATTTATTCTGGAATTACTCGCTAGCATACTCGCCTGGCGAAC